CATGGTCATGTGGAAGTTCAAGCTAACATAGTCCTATCTGAAGGTAGTTGAAGAATGAGGTATTACCAAGACAGCATGAAAATGGGGGAAAGGATAGAGGAAGAAAAAGGAGAACATAAGTAATTGTAGATCTGTGATCTTTGTTTGACTGACTCTGTAGAGATATAAAACAGCTCAAAGTCTTTGCCATATCTTATAATCACACATACCAAACTGGAAGAAGAGAGAAATTTGCCACCTCAAGGAATATTCAACAGCCTGGGACATTTTAATACCTTAAGACAGCCTATTCCAAATAATATTTTAATGATATATTAACACATTTCAGAGTGTCTGCTCTTTGCATAAATCATTATGATTCTGAGTGCCAAATCCATAGCTGGTGCAAATCGCTGATATCCATGGTGCTGCATCAGCTGAAAATCTGGTTCTCATAGTTTAAGAAATTACATTTATATCTTAACAAATCTCTTTCAGTGGTACTGAAAACTAAAAATGACTTATTGCTTTAGTCTGGGCATTCATTTTACACATGACTAACAAGATGAATGACATTCGTGTTGATACCAAGAATTATGCCATTTTCAAAACTTGAAAACATTACTATAAGAAGAGCAAAGGCCAAAATAGAAAGCAGAATTTATCAAAAGCTAAATCTTTCTGCAATAACATGTTTAAGTATTTGATTGGTGATAATCTTTACTATCAGAGTAAGCTTTCAACATGCTTTCTTGATTCACTCACTAAACATATTTTTCTATTGACGTATTTTTCCACTGGAAGAAGAAATGTTTCATTCAGGCTTGTTTTGCAGATGGTGTTCCCAGCACTTGTAGAGATGTGGATTGAATAACAACTTCCTCCACTGGTTGGGAAGTTGGCAGATACCACAAAATATATAAGGTTCTAAGGGATGTTAGGAATAAATCTGTGACCATGCTGGTTACCAATAACATAGGGAGAATTAGAAGTAGCTCTGTAAATTAAATGTGGATTACATGTGAAAAGGGGTCATCTCCAGCATCTCATCAGTAACTTCCTCTGAAAAGTTTCTGCTTTTATAAATAGGTCCAGATACATGGATGAGTTACAGTGCATGGAAAAAAAGATGGCTTAAAGACATAAGTGACTCATAGTAGCACTCAGGAGTCGCACCACCTTCCTATGCCCCTGCCAACATTTTAATCGCTAAATGGGTTCTCCCATGTGCGCCCTACCCCTCTGGGTGGCGATTATTGTACCCCTTCCCCCACAGGCATCAGTTACACCTGTTTAAAGATGAGAAGCTTGTGTTGATCAGGCATTCAGGAATATTGGAACAAAGGAAAAGTTTATGCAAAAGGGATAGGCTTGACTTTACCCAAAATGAAACCAAATTCTGGCATCAAAAATTAACAACATATGTCACAATTATTTGAAACGGCACCTAGGAGAGAGCCAACAATAGCTGTTACTCTCCGTTACTCTTTTCAGGTAATAAAAATAAGTTGTATCAGAGACAGGTATCAAAAGACTTGGTTTTGAAACCCACCAATAAGTTAATCAGCAAAAAAGTCACTGGGACAAGATGTAATATATACCAGAAGGTCTGGAATAACTTGGGAATGCCGTGACTGAGTTATCAAAAATATGCAGTCTCTCATTAATATCAACTAATCAGAACACTGAGCAATAACCATGTCTGTAACTCTGTATTTAAAAAGGCATTAGAAGTTATCTTAGAAAGAACAGACCAGTAAGCCTTATTCAAAATGTTACAGTATTAAGAAAGTAGTCAAAAGGTGTGAGACAAAGTATTGCCATGAATCAAAAATTGGCTAAGATTGAAAATAATAATAAATGCTCAATTTTTAACATGGCAAAAGATGGACAGTAGCCTCTTTCCATGGTTCTACAGTAAGATCAATGTTGTTTAATATCTTTATTGCTTTTATAGGGAAAAAAAAAAGATGTGGCAAAATATATTTGTGACACAACTTTACTCAGGTTATTTTTAAGACTAGAAAAACCTAAAGGACTTAAGAGAGACCTATTTGAGCCACTGTATGTGAATGAGCAGCACAGTGGTACATGAAATTCAGAACTGACAACTGGAAGACACTGCATGTGTGAAGGAATAATTTGAATTCTTTCTGCATATTCTCAAATTCTACATTACATAAATACTCAAGGGGGGGAAAAATCTGGCCGTCACTGCGGACACTTTGATCTAACCCCTCAGCTCAATGCTCAACAGTGGTCAAAACAACAAACAAAATGTTGCTATTTATAAATAATAAGATAGCAAATAATATAGTAATTTATATTCAAACTATTACACTGTAATGCAATGGCAATCTGAAATATTTTTAAAAAATTCTGTGGTCGGTCTTAATAAAAGAGGTAAATATGATTAAATTTAAATAATGGCTGATACCCAAGACAATTAGTTTAGTTTTAGCCATATTCATCTCAGCACAAGAGAGATGTACATTTTTTCGTGATAATTAAAGATGAACACGTTCTGTTGTATTGATCATATACTGTTAAGTATTATAGCTGAGTCATCACAATAGAATACTAATTAAAATATAAAAATACACAATATGGGCTCCTCTTTGAAGACCACATAACCTCAGGTAAACTGAAAACCACCATGTAGGTCAATATTTATTGATTTTTATTAAATCATAATTCATCTTGAAAAGTAATTAAGGCCTATACTCTACATGCAACAACACATTGCTTTTAAAAATTAAAAGAGCATAGGGAGCCTATTACAGCTCCTAGTACACAAGTTGTTTTCAGATTAATTAATTCTATCGTTCTAGATTAGATTTCCTCAGAGACATCTTTGGTAAATTGTGATATAAAAACTATTAAATTTAAAGCCCAGCTCTTTTTCTTCTAATCAGCATCTTACACAATTCATATGTTTTCTTGCCCAGAGTATAACGTACATCTAATTTCCTCTGTTAAAATTTAAGTATCAGCCATCCAATTCAGAATATTACTTTTCAGTTTCCTTCAGGAAACTGATTCACATTGCATTAAAGTCAACGAGTAGTCCTCTGGCACCTTAGAGAGACTAATAAAAATACATAGGATCATGAGCTTTCGAGGGTAAAGCCCACATCAGATGAGTGAAAGGATGTACATTGGGGTGGCTTGGGAGCAAGATGGTGGCCACAAGGAATCAAAGAAGTTAAATCATACTCAATCTTCCACTGATATAAAGTGTACTAGGGATTTTATGCCAGTGATGTAAGTTAGAGTTCTTCTACAGCAGCTCTAACATACGTTGGAACAACATGGGATCTAGGAGCAGCAGCAGGCTGCCTGATAGTCTCCTCCTTTCACTGTATATGAGAGGAGCATAGACACAGATGAGAATCCAGTCCATTAACATAAATGGAATTACATGGTGGTGAAATAATCTGACTCTGAATTAAAATTTTCAAAGCATTACGAAGGTCAACAAACCAGTCAATAATAATAATAATAATAATAATAAAACCCCTAGGAAACATAAGAATGGCCATACTGTCCATCTAGTCCAGTATCCTGTCTTCCAAAAGTGACCAATTCCAGGTGCCCCAGAGGGAATTAACAGAACAGGTAATCATCATGTGATCCATCCCGTTGCCCATTCCCAGCTTCTGACATACAGAGGTTAGAGACATCATTCCTGTCCATCCTGACTAATAGCCATTGATGGATCAATTCTCTAGCATCAAAAAATAAAAATTTACGCAGCAGGGGTGGGGGCAAACAGAAGCCAGTGCTAGGGGGAGTCAGCAGGGCAGCAGAGGCAGTAGCAGGGGGGCCCAGGCTTGCTGCGGACAGAGGTTGCTCCATGGCAGCATGTTAATCTGAATTCTAAACTCTCAGGAATTTTTAATCACAGGTTATATTGTACCTGAATGTTAGTGTGGAACCTGGATGTGATGCTACTTCCACTAGGGAGGTCAACACATAGATGACTACATAATTAATCAGTAAGTCTGGGCTTATCAGTTAACCCTATCGACTATACACATTCCTCCCATGGCTATCTCTGTATCAGAGGCAGCAACAGGGGGAGGCAGGAGCCAGTACCCATGGGGAGCCAGCTTTAAGCAGGTTCCCACGAGCATCAGATCCAGCTGTCCCCTCCCCCACCATGCTGCTCCCTCTGATAGAAAGGTAGCAGTGTAGAGGCTGAGGGGGACAGATGGGAATCAACAGACGTGGGGAGCCAGCTTTTAAACAGCTGTCCACACATGCTGGCTCCAAAGACCAGTCTGCCCCCCTTGCTCCCTCTTACAGAGGCAGCAGGGGTGGGGGCAAACAGAAGCCAGTGCTAGGGGGAGTCAGCAGGGCAGCAGAGGCAGTAGCAGGGGGGCCCAGGCTCGCTGCGGGCAGAGGGTGGTCTGAGGTCCCCATGGACAGGAGCTGTTCCCACCCCATGCTGCTGCCTCTATCAGGGGTGGCAGGTGAAAGTCTGTCTGCATGGGGAGCTGGTTTTTAAACCAGCTCCCCTCATGGACTGGCTCCTGCCTGCCACCCAGCACTGCTACCTCTGATAGAAAGGCAGCAGCATGGAGTGGCAAGAGGCTCCCTGAGAGTGGAGCCAGGAACACACCGGCTACCAGCTCTGCCCACAGGATTATCAAATAGTCGTGAAACCACTAAAATTTTGTGCAGTGACATGACTATTCAATTACACACTAATATCCCTAATTTACATACTCAATACATTGTGAAGTATCAGAGGGGTAGCCGTGTTAGTCTCTTACATACTCAATACATTGTGACAAATTCAAATGAAAACTTAAAAAACTGGTTTAAATTTCCAACTTAACAAAAAGACTCTCATGGAAAAAGATGTGACTGATATAAGGTAATATTTCTTCTGAGATACTTTTTCTTTTTTTTATCTTTACCTCTCCCCTTTTCTGATATCTGCCTCCTTTTTCTTCTCCTAATTCATCCTATTTTCTTTCACTTCTTTCCCATTCAACTGAGCTCTTCTTGCCTACCTTCACCATACAATCTCTTCCGTTCTCACCATGATTCCATCATTCTGGACTGTATTCCATCTCTAATCCTGTAGCATAAAAAAGCCAGAAAACATCAGATCATGTGGGAATTCAAGAGAGGAAGTTCAAGAGTTTTATAATCAATACAACAGATCTTACATATCCCCTGCTCACAGAATCCAGAGAGAAAAAGCTACAGCAAGAGTGGACATTTTGGGGCATGAAGTAGGAACCAAAGTGCACTGTAATCCAGCAACTCTGCACTACAGGCTGATCCTTTGCGTAGCTTTGCCATTAAGTGTAAGCCTTTGCAGCTAATCTACCTTAGACCAAGGTCCAAGCTAGCTTCTGCCAGCCCTAGAATTGTAGAGGTGGTATAAAAATAAAATACCATTTAGCAAACCCTCTAATTAAACAGGTTGATTAACATCACACTGAAAAGAATGAATTTGACAATAATTGCCAACTAAATTTCATTTCAACCTTAATTTCAGATTAGGTACATTTTTGCAGCTCCATTGACCTCAAGCTCAGGATTTACATCCTAGTATCAGAAGGTGCAAACACAAAGGAGTGAGATACAATAGTTAATGGGTGAGGGGGGTTAAACAGAAGTAATAGGTACCATCCATATGGTTCATTGTCAGTCCTTAATAAAAAAAATAATGAGGATTAAATTAAGTTAAGGACATATGTGTATGTGTAAGTCTTATTAATTATATGGACTAGTACTCAATGGAAGTAACATTGCTTAAGTCTATTTCTGTTCTTTTATTTGAAGTGATAAAATTTTTCTCATCCTCTGAAATATTCAATAAAGATTTATGTTACAGTGTAACATACATGAACAGTGGTTCTTTTTATTATCAGGATAATGACAATAAAGTTTATTCTTTGTTGTACTCTGGGGATTTAAAACTCTCCAGCTCTCCATGTATCATTTTTAGTACTTTTTAATTTTTGTTTTAATACTTTGATATGGCTTCAGAGTAGAACATAAAAAAACATTATTTAACTTCAGAGTGGTTTTGTGTGTCTTCTTTAAAAATGAATTCAGTTAAAGTAAATATCCCCTTTGTGTAATCAGAAGGACTTCAGTCCCAAAAGCATACTGTCACAATGCCTTGCAGGGCTAAAAGGCACTAACAGTCTTTTAGCATTTCCATTTCCAATACAAAAAGTTGGGAAGTTCTACTTAAGCCATGAAAGTTATGCATACAAATTCTGTTGTATTTGCAACTAGCAGACTTACCCAACATTCTCTGGGTCTTTCAGGGCAAGGGGCTCGCGGTGAGGGGTACAGTACCCAGGGCCTGGCTTTGGAGATGTAGAGGGGTGCAGGGAGGCTGGTGGCGAAGGGTTGAGAGAGTAAGTATTGGAGGTGAGGAAGGGCTCATTGTAGGGGAGGGGGTATCATTATGGCCCCTGGGGATTCCAAAGTTGAGTAGCCCTGCTCTACAGAATCGTTCTCTCCTGTGGACTTGCTGTCCCTAGTGGCCGCTCTGATACAGTGTCCCTCTGAGCAGCAGCCCCTCCCTTTGCATTATGGAAAGAAGTCCTTTTCCCAGGGCTTCCAGTTGACCAGACACAACCACACTCTGACCTTGCTTTAGGTTAGGAGAAGAGAAAGCTCATACCAAATTTAGCGGCCCTAACTCTCACCATTATAAGGAGTTCTTGGACAAACAGACTCAGACAGACACACAGGCAGTCAATGTAGAAAGAAATGTAAGCAATGCAGCATTGGTTGAAATATAAGAACCAGGAATAGACACTGATTCGAAAGTGACCATAAACAAATTTGCAACTGACTGTTTCCATTGCCTAAACTGAAAAATGTGAAAAAGTAAACTGCAGAGTCTAGAAATAATTAGATTTTTAAGTCTTTTGGTTTTATGTATCTCTTTATGTGCTCTTTGTAAGATATGCAGGGAAATTAGTTTCTTTAAAAATATTTTTATATGACAGTTCTTTCTAAAGTTAATGAAATGCAAATTATTATGCATATATTTACATTTTTATTAAGACAAGATTGATAAGATAGAGAAAAGAGCAACAGTCACTATATACTTTTTAGCACTGAAGTTTCAGTCTATTAGTGATTTGAGCAACCTAATGTGGAAAACCTTCAAACATCAGAAAATAAATAGCAAAGGCCACTCACCTCTCTTACCCTTGTTAAAGATTCAACACTAGCTAATCTGCAAAGGTTATTACTTATTGTAAAAAAATTCATTTGATAGGAAATGCACATATTTATACTGAATTTCTGACTAGGGTGTCACATTTACAGAAGAGGAGATTTGTTAAAGATTTGTCACCAGACCCTCCACTGTACTATTCCATACAACCACAAAAGCAATTGAAAGCAAAATCTGTCACTGCAACTGAATGGCAAGAAATTTGATAAAGCACCATCATTTTGGAATTTCTTGCATAATTCATTTGTCCCCTCTTCGGAGTGCTCTTCACCTGCCTGAAAAGGTGATATAACTTCCTTCCCCTCTATTCCAGTAACTCCTTTCTGCACAGAAACAACTGTCATGAACAGACCTTACCTGGGACTCATCTTAAATCTTCAAGATAGTAGCTCAGAGGAGTCAGTGCAAGGAGGCACATTTATGAAAAACAAACTGCTTAGGACACTGTGACCTCCAGTTGCACAACAAGAGAGAGAGCAATGAGCCTTAGCCAGGATCTCAGCCAGCCAGCCCAGACTCCTCCCCTCACTAAGCTCACACAACACAGCCAAGTAAAAGATAGGAGAGAGATGAAGAATGAAGCCACTCAGGGAATGGAACTATTTCTGAAGTGGAGGCAGGGAGAACGCCAACCATTAGGAAGAAAAAGGTGGAGTACCTCCGGGGAAAGAGAATACAAGAGGAGGGAACAGAAGAGTGAGGGGCATATACTGGAGTGAGAGAAAGAGAAAGGAAGGAAAATGCTGAAGGAATGATGACAGAAGTTGGGACTGAAGGAGAGTGGTCACAAGAAGGAAAATGCTGAAGGAAGTTGGGACTGAAGGAGAGTGGTCACAGACCAGCTACAGGACCCCAGAAGGGGTGGGCCCCAAGGGCACCATTTCAGGAGGGTAAGGGGAGCAGCAACCATGCTCTCTGGGATGCAGCTAGCTTTTCATCCTGTTCCCCGGATGCTGAAGAAGTGGGGGAAAGTGCTTGCATTCCAGCCAGGTGTGAGAGGCATGCATGGAATGCAAGCACTTCCCCTCACTCCTTTAGCATCCAGGGAACGGGATGAAAAGCTAGCTGCATCTTGGAGCGCATGGCTGCTGCTTCCCCTATCCTCCCAAAATGGCACCCTTAGTGGGCCCTAGGGCAGAAGTGTTGGGGCTGAGGCTACAAAGAGAGAAAGGGAGTGTGTGAGAGTAAAAGAAAGACACTGTGTGTGTGAGACACAGACTCTGAGACAGATTGAATAGGTATGGCAGAAACAGGAGAGTGTATGGCAGTGTATGTGACACAGTGTGGCACAGATTGGGTGTGTGAGAGTGACACAGAGAGTGTGTGCGCTAGCTGTTGCTGGGTAAGTTTCTGAGAGAAGCTATGCACTGTCTCTTTAAGACAGGGAAAGCTGTCTTCCCCCCATTCTCCCACCCCCACTCTGCAGAGATGCAGTCTGGGGGGAGTGTGTGTATGAGAGAGTGAGAACACGCATGTCTTAGAAACCATGCACTGCCTCTTTAGACAGGCACTCCTCTGAGTCACTTGCCATCCATACTTCAGACTGGAGCAGCTCTGCTCTGTCTCTCCCTCTCTCCATCCCCTGCTTTGCAGAGATGGGGTACAAGGGCAGGGGGACACCTTGACTTCAGCATTCCCCTCTCCCCTTCCCTCTGCATAGCTAGCAGGAGAACAAGATAGAACAAGGTGAAGGGAGGAGCAGCTAAATACAGGATGCTGGTTTTAAGTATGAAACTCTGCTAATCAGCTGGATAGTCTGGAGAGAAATGCTTGGTGGGTGGATCTGGACTCCCGGACCTGATTTTGCCCCCCCTCCCCCCCCCACCTAAAGGAAAGGAAGAAAAGATGACAGAGCTGCAGTTAGTCTTTTCTGGGCCCAAGAGAAAAGGGAAGCAGCATTGTTATGGGATAGGCCAAGGGGTCTGATCTGAGCACCTGTCCCAGCACTAGACAGAACAGTGCAAACAGTTTGTCATATGCTTCTGATCCCTCTCCATATGATTTTAGCTCTAGCACACAGGGAAGGTGCAAAGGTTGAATCCTATGCCCACTCACAGTTTTCAAAAATGAGGACCTAAATTTAACCTGTGAAATCCATATTTAGACGCCTAATAAAAACTGATTTTCAAAGGTGCTGTACGTCTATGGTTTCCTTTAGCTTCTGTTCTCAGCACCTATGAAAATCAGGCTAATTTTTAAATATGGAGCAAGGTGGCTAATTTTAGGCACTCAGGTTTGAAAATTGTGGCCACTATCATTTAAAATGATTTGTGTTCCAAGCATGTTATCAACCAGTATTGTATTGCCTCTGTGGATAAAAAAATATTTATTATCTTTATTAGAGTGTTGCTGAAATGTCATAATAAATATTAGTGCCCCCAAACAAACATCCTGTAAGGGAGAGTTTTTGCCCTGCTGTATTTTTAATCTAAACAGGCAAAACAGATAAAGGGTAAAAGGAAACATATTATACTGATTTTATAGATGAGAGAATTGAGCTACAAGACAGTGTTGCAAAACCAAATATATGTTTGTTTATTATTTATTAGATATTTTGTTGTTGCTGCTGCTGCTTAGCAGAATAAGGCTCTGAACCTGCATTTGCATTTACACATTTACTTAAACTTATGCATCTGTGTTACCCAGCTGAAGTCAATGGGACTGCTTGTATCCTTCAAGAGTATATCTTATGGGAGAAATGCTTTTTGATATCTTTCTCCCATTCATTTAACTTCTGTCATCTTATCTCTTCCTTTACAAGTGATTGAGATGAATTCGTTACTATATTCCTCTCCATCTTGGGCACACTCCTATCCCCAAAGCTACACTAGACCCACCTGCCACAAACTCCCACACAGCTCATGAGTCCAAATCTTCTACCATTCCGAGTTCACCTATACAGCTCAGCCCATGAGTTTTCCTAGCCTACACTCTTCACTGTCCTTGAACTTCACAAGCCTTCAAAATGCCTAGTCCACAATCTCCTTCAAGTCACAAGCCGTAAATTGTACCTAATGCTGCTCAAACCCCTCAACACAGAACATACAAATATCACCAATCCTCCACTTATTTGCCATAGAGGGTAGGAATGTGTTTCTCTGCTCTCCCTACCTATGTAGTTATTTGCACTAGATACCCCCATTCAATTCAAGAGTTACTCAGAACTGACAACTGTGTAACTATGAATGGAATTTGGCCTTGCTTGCAATTTTTTCTCTCTCTCAGGAACAACAACCAACCTGCCAGCTTACTTTTCTAACGTTACTGCCCAATGAATGACTGGCTTTGAAGCGCCCGGTACCTGGCCCCAGCTCGGCACAGTAGTTGCGGAACTCCTTCTCGGTGCAATGAACAGCCGCGGGGCTGCAAAGGACAGTTTCCCCGTCCACTTAACCAGGCGCCACCTGCCGTCGCATTGTCCCAGCGTTGCATTGTCCCAGCACACAGCGCTGCTCTTTTCCACAGCAAGGTAGTGAGAGCACCGTTACTGCACACTGAATGACTGCTTTGAAGCGCCCGGTACCTGGCCCCAGCTCGGCACAGTAGTTGCGGAACTCCTTCTCGGTGCAATGAACAGCCGCGGGGCTGCAAAGGACAGTTTCCCCGTCCACTTAACCAGGCGCCACCTGCCGTCGCATTGTCCCAGCGTTGCATTGTCCCAGCACACAGCGCTGCTCTTTTCCACAGCAAGGTAGTGAGAGCACCAGTCAGTCCCTCACGCTCATTCTACATTTAATCTTCAGCGGGTGG